AAATTTTGTCATCTTGGAGTCTGTGCCCATGACGATGACCACAAGTCTGCATGCACGAAACACATTGCGCTGAAAGGCAGCAGTATTCATCCCTCCAGACTCGATATTCTCGTTGGAATTCATTTCATCCAGAACGAAAACGGCAAGACGTTCTTCTCTGCCTTGATTTTGTCAACCAGAGCAAAAACTGTTTCCCGGTAGCATGGCTTCACGTTAAATCTCGTCGCGTTGTCATATCGAATCATTTGTCGAGCACTTTGGCGCTTCGCAGAGCTGCAATGCTCGAGTAATGCGCTGATGAAGTCAGACGCCCAAAGCAGATCATTCTGATAAATGCTTGATATACAGTTCAGCACAAGCTCCGTATTTTTTTTCTCTGGAAAGTCTTTTTCAACCACTGCAGCAAACGTGTTCGATATTGAGGTAAAATTGCTATAGAGACGTATAGAACCGGATCCAACTGGAGTGGATAACCAATAAAAATGCGATCGTCGGCCACCCAATGCAAATGCAAGCTGCGATTTTCCCATGCCTGATGACCCTCCAGCGTCGATGAACGGGATTGGCCGCTCGTTCTTGTCATAGAACTCGTCGACTTTGTCCAATGTGAGCACAATAATCTCGGCATTTGCATTCGATAAGACGTCAACGACGTCAATAGTACATCAACTTTTTGCTAATCACTCTCTGAGTCTCGGATTTCTTCAATTGTAACGAAGATTTCCGTCGGTTCAGCTGCTGAGATTGCTATTGATGATGCGGCTCTTCGATTTGCAAGTGCATATTTCATCTCGATCGGAACAACCACCACGACATTAACAGGAAAGCTCTTCGTCTTGACATCCTCCATCGTAACCTCAAACGCAACATTTTTTTCCGACAAACCGACCAAATGGAGCGGGGCTGCCACAACCTTCAATGGCTTGAACTCGCCCGTGTCATAGATTCCTTCGGCCACTTGCTTTTCAGTCAGCCGCGATTCGCCCTTTTTCGCAAGATATAGCTCTAATTTGTCCGCAGCAAAGTCATACTTCTTCTCCTTCTCGATGGCCTTCTTCAAGTCACCTACCAACTGGCTAGCGTCGATATCCACAGAGAATGCATTTCCTTTCACACCGACAATCGCGCAGAAAAGCGTCACCATGTTTCTCTTGCTGATGCCTTTTTTAACTGTGGAGTAGCTTTGGCCAGGTCTCGCATCTTAGTCAATCAAATGCAACAACACCCATGGAGATTAATCAATTACATAATTATTGACTTGTTTGATGGGTTGACTAAATGATATATTGGTCAATTCTCAATTTCAAAAAATCTTTTTCCATTTAACCAATATAATTAAGTAAAGGTTTTAGATGTATCCAAAATTTAAGAACATAACACGCATTTGAAAAAATAATTTAAAATGCATAAGCAAATTCCATTACTTTTTGTTGAGTTGTGCGCATTAGAGCGCAAAATGTGAAGTGAATATATTTTAAGTCCTTAGTTCGCAAACTGCTTGCTACTTCTAAGCCATTCATTTAATATACTAGGCCCATTATACTAGATCCTGATTTATCTTAGCCTATCAGCGACTGCCATTGCGTGCGTAAT